GTATCGCTAGAACAGAAAATAGTAATAAAAAGGATTTTGCATATTAAATTCTCAGCTTTACCTTACTAACGCCAAAGCATTCAGCACCATGGACAGCGTCCGCGCGGCGGTTTACCTGAGCGTTTTCCTCTCGCTACTGTGCGTCTGCAGGGGTCAGATGTCACTGGACAACCGAGTGACCGCACAAGACGAGCAGTTCATCAAAAGAGACCTGGTAAGAGAATAAGTGAAAGTGTCATATGGCATAGCTCAACAAATACATTTTCAACCTGTTGATGAAAAAAAAGTTTGCGCAACATCAGAAAAACAGTATGCCTATGTGACGAGCAAGAAATTAATAAAAATTCAGGACTGAGTTCACTTGCATGGGTTCAAGCATTTTAAGTGAAGCTATATGTTTGTCACTAAGAAAGTCGCGTGAAATTTGATGCAACTATGATTTTCACAACAACGATTTACTTGGATAAAATATCAGACTATCTCAGAAACGTATCTTTAAATAATTGTTGTTCTAATCTATATATCTTCGGACTTGCTTTCTCGCCGTTTGTGTTTAGGCTGAGGCGCTCGATGAACTTTTGGATGGAGATCAGGACAATCGGATATCTGTGGAGAAAAAAGCTAGCGTCATTCCCAGGGTAAAGACATTCCTCTTATTTTTCCCTTTGAAATAGCGTTTATCGTCAAGTAAAAGAGGCTGACTAGAACAATATCTAATGCGATGCACCATGTTTGTTAGTGTGATGTGGGGGAGCGCTGCGCCATGAAGCACGGACCGCGCATCGGGCGACTGTGTGATTGCATGCGAGGAACAGCCTGCAATACTTTCTTCTTGCGCTGCTACTGATGGAGCTCGCGCAACTCTCTTCTCTCTCAGGCACTGTGTTTAGAAACTCGTGACAGAAATGCTTGGGACACCTCATCTATTTAACGGTTTAATTCTATGCGTGAAATTACATGGGTGATGTATTGATACTGTTCTATTGTTCGTAACCTGTAGCCTACTACATAACTTACACTACATGTTTATATGATTAAAGGTGTTTATTTTACGTTAATGAAATGTATTTAAGACTCATTCGTTCTGAATATTGTCTAAATTAAAAGTATGTATACATTGTCTGTGCGTTTATAATTGAACTAAAACCGTATAAGAACAAGATCTGAACTGAGGCGTATTATTACAGGCATAATGAGTGTGATCAATGATGATGAACAAGTGTCATGATCAACAACTAAAATCCCGATTTGAATAATCATTAATCATTGGATTCTAGTGAGTCTTATAATTAAGGCTTTCAGTGGTTTAACTGTTTCAATGCCAGTAATTGGTGTGCAATCTGTTGAGGTTCTTCTCGCGCATCCAAAATTCAACTTAAGTTTTAAAATCGACAGTTTTGTGATTCCTGGTTGAAAAGCCCGGTTCTAGATCCAGACTCATTCTGCTTCTTAAATCCTCTTTTGAACGAGGCTTTTGAAACAAATAGGATTAGGCTACTGCGAGATCTGTCCACGGGTTATAATGTGGCCACCAATCACCATTACACAAAGTCAAGTAAATGTCGCAAAGGGAAGGGAAATCTACATATAATGGCCTTGATAAATCCTGGAAAAGCTAATCATCCCGCTCTTCAGTCGATCCGCAGGGGTGCTCAATCACCTCATGTGACGCAGAAGCAAGTTCCACAAGTCTTTGCGTGAAAACTCGTGCCGGACCCCTCGCTACTAGAAGCACTCCTACGTGACTATAATACAAATATAATGTCAAATGTATCTATACTTCTCGTAGCGCTTCACTGTGCTGTATACATTTATCCTAAACTCAGTGGCGTGGATTCAAGACCGCCAGACTACGAACCGACCGGACCGTTCACTGACGACGCGACAGAAGCGGTGAGTTGAAATATTGCGCGAGTGCATTTTATTCTACAGATCGTTGGATAATCGGAAAACGTACTGTTTATTACAGACAAGAGCTGTGACAGAATATAAAGAAAACCTTCAAAGACAGCTCGTGCCCATTTTGAAAAGAAAGTTCAACCGTCTTCCAGGCGTATGCAGACGTCTGAAAAGGAGGAGGATAACAGTTCAGGTAGCCTACTTAATTTTTTGCTTATTATTAGTCTGTAGCCTGTATAATCTGCATGAAAGTCATATAACTCAAGCAAAAGTTTGGAATTAAAGGGATAGGCCTAGTTCACTCAAAAAATAACAACTTGTGTCATCACCCTCTGTTTCAAATCTGTATGAGATTCTTTGTTCTGTTCAACAGAAAAAAAAAAGATATTTTGAACAATGTTTGTATCCAGAGTTGCTTGCAGCCACTTACTTCCATAGTATGGAAAAATACTTAGGATGTCAACCTGCAACTGTTTGGTTAGCAACATTCTTTAAAATACCATCTTTTGTATTCAACAGAAGAAATGAATTCATACAGCTTTGGAACTTGAATACAAAACATTTTCATTTCTGGGTGAACTTTTCCTTTAAAAAGGTAGACCCCACAACCCCCCCTCAAAGTTGAACACTTTGACTGCAAATTCTTTACTTTAAGTGCTTAAACTTTGAAAAAAAAAAATCAAATTATACAATTCCAAGTCCCTATAGGGTTTTGCAGGGTAGGAAACTCTGGGTTGAAGTCAATCTGTAAACTTGAGCACAAACATGTGGTGTGCAGTTGATAAGAATTTCTTACCATTTGTCCTTTTCTTCCTCTCCACAGTGTAACACAGCAAAGTTCTGTTCTGCTATGACATATTCTCAGCATGGCCACATCTGCTCCTGCTCAAAAGGATCAAAGTGCACTCATTTCTTTTTATGGAGTTTGTGACCTCTCTTTTTTTACTTTCATCACACAATACATAATATTCCATCATAATAGAATCATGTGACAATAGAAAAACTAAGGCAGACTATTTATTTTTCCAATTTATTCCGTAGTTCATTATCATAAGAGGACAGGAAATGTCACTTATCTTTCATAAAAATACACCTTTTACATTTCAGGTAGATCATTAAAATCAGCTATGGGGCTAAGCTTGATCAAATTCACATGGCTTGTTGAGAAAAAACACCAATCAGCCTTTAACAAAAAGGCATTATTCTGTCAAACCAATCATAATTTCAAATGTGTGGGGAAAAGTTAGAAATGTACCTCTGTACCCAAAACCAGGAGAGTAAAGTCTTTCTGAAGATGATAGCATAAAATATCACTATCACCTTCAATAAATGAGAAGAATATGCAATATTGACTTTTGCTGTGAAGTGCTTAAAAAAATGTAATAAAATAAAATGTAAAATTTTTTTACAACACATCTCATCCTCTTCATTTCAAGTCAAGCAGCTTTTACATACATTACAATGCAGTCTTGCATGCATCAGTCAGATATGAGTACAGAGCTGGTATTTTTGAGACTGACATTATGAACCAAGACGTTTCTTCACATAATTTTATATAAAATATTCCTTTTCTCTCAGGAGGGCAAAGACTGAAAGTAAACACCATGAATGAAAAAAATTTAATAAATAAAACTTTAATAAAGGGCACCTACAAGTCTCTAAAGAATGTGCCAAAAACACTAAAAAAGTATATAAGCCTACTGAATATAAGGATTTAACAAACAGCAACTGCACATAAAAGATTAATTAAATTACCATTAAAGGGGTCATGAACTGAGAAATCAAATTTCCCTTGATCTTTTGACTTATAATAGGTCAATGTACTATAAAAATCATCCTGTAAGTTTCAAAACTCAAAACTTTCTCGTTAGTTTAAAAACCAAAAGTTTTTAGCCAAAGTTATTGAAACCAAACCCAGAAAACGATTCATTTTGGAATGTGCCACTTTATGACGTAATAGTGTGTCTAAGCACCGCCTCCGCAGGAGAAGATCAACGCCTGCTACTACATCACTGCCTCTTTAGCCCCACCCACTGATACACGCTTGTAGGAGGAGAGGAAATACTAGACAGACGCAAACACAGAATTACTCCAACAGTAACCATACATATGACATTACAAGTTTACAAGACACTGTGTAATGTAAGTTGTGAAAAATATTCTTTGAATTGCCTTCCTTGTGATCCTAACACCGTATTTAGATTGGACGTGAGCGTTGTTGCGTCATGTCGCAAATCAATTTCTTTCAGGTCAGAAGCGGCGTGAATGTTTGTATGTCAGAAATAGAGCGAGACATCAGTCTACTGTGGGGGGTTTGTTGTGTCAATCCTGGCCGCATCCAGTGTAGACAGAATCGCAGATTATAATGGGTTCTGTTGTCTATAGTCACGTTGCGCCGCTCGCGTCCGGTGTAAACCGGGTAAAATTAGCAAAGAGCTCCAGATCGCGTCAGTGAAACACTGGTTGCTTGCTTGACATTGCTACGGATTAATTTTTTTAACAAGACAGTATGCTGCAGGCTTTTCGGAGAGACTGAAAGTAAACGATGAAGCCTGACTATAGTGGATCCATCACTAATGTCGTAACACAGAAGTGTGAGTAAACATGCTTTTACCACGTCTGTTCCGGACCGTTAGATATATACAGAGTATTTATACTTTTTTAACCCAAATGACCCATGTTGTTTTCAGAGTACGTCACAGCAGTGTCCATCTGTTATTTTAATAAGTAAAATTGTTAGCCAATCACAGCAGTGGGTGTTTACTTGCTCATCTTGAATGTGCCCCGCCTATAAATACAGACCTTTCTGCAGAGAGGCTCAAAAACCGCATAGAAAATCTGTTTTTGAAAAGCCTGTTACTTCTAAATTATTTTTTATGTAAAATCACACTAACATTATAATTGAATCTCAGAGAACATTATAAAATAATAAAAAAATGCAGTTCATGACCCCTTTAATGTTCCTGGATGAAACATATCAATTTTAATGGATGGACGAGTGTGTCAGTTTGGAGAAAGTCAGGAAAAAGACATCTGTGATTTCATGAATGGTAGCATGTTCTAAAATTAATCGAGCCAAAGGAACGAACCCCAAAACTTTGATATTCACTGAAACTCACCGTCTAACATAAACCCATCCTAATGAAACTGTCAAGACAATTTTTTATGTCTTCTTTCAAGAAGAACTGTCTTCTTTCAAGACTTTCATACAGACATACAGTTCATTCTCAGCTTGACAAAATACTTGATGTGCTTTTGGATTACTGAAAACATGCAACACACACACACACCCATATTTTGTTCAACACACACCACCTTCACAGCATTTGAAAGAACAGGTATATGCAGAGCTGTACATCTTTTGTTACAAAATAGGGACTAGAATCCTGTCTTGCATAATTTTTGCTGATTTGAAGGGATGATCTTGAGATTCACATCTAGTTAGTTAAATCCTGCACAGAAGCAGCATCCACAAGTCATGTCAGTCTGGGGAGAAAGAGCACATTGTGCCCATTCAGAGCTTTGACTTTGTGCGTCCAGTAAGATTAAACCAGTGATAAAGTCTGGACTGTGGGGTTATGCCCTTTGCTGAGAGTTTATAACACCAGGCCACAGGCCAATTAACTTTTAGTATAGTCCAGTCTACTAAATAGATTCTATCTGTCGCCGAACCTTGTCTGAGGCTTGGCGGTCAAGTGAGCGTTGCCTAGCAACCACTATTATTGCAAAGACAACAGTGAGAGCCAGCATCACGCCCTCAAATTTCCAAAAGAGATGCTCCTCCATTTTGGTAGAGCGACAGCTGAATGGAAAACAAAGAGAAAGAGTGAATTAAATTACTGTATTTTTCTTAATTTTTAGCCAGCTGGATTAATAATATTATAAGCCAGAAAAACATTTGCTATTTTGCCATCCAAACTGTGAACTTAATATGCATGGAAAGAAGTGGCATTTAAACATGTACTGTAAATGCAGCACTAAACAGACATTTACGTTGTAGCTATTGGGGAAGCTACTGTGACTTTTATTAAATGTAATAAATTACCGGTTTAGAACATGGTGACAAAACAAAATGACTCAATACACTATCGCAGAAATTGCATAAATGTATATGGTTGGAGAAATGGCTACTGTCAGCCGAACAGAACAGGACATATATTTTTGGTGGAGAACCACTCACCTCTTGTATTCATCTCTGTTAGACTTAGTGCAGTTGATCTTTTCTACAAATCCTGTTTGGCTGCAGGCTGGTATAGTTTTCTGTAAAAATTACAGCGGGTTTACAAGCCAAGTAGAGGAAACTTTTTAATGAATCCTCAAAAATGAAACGCTCTTCCGCTGGAACAATCATAATCTTTCGTGCACTATATTTATATACCTTGACTGTACCTATCCAATTCAGTATATTCTGCTTAGTTATCGCAGAAATTGCATAAATGTATATGGTTGGAGAAATGGCTACTGTCAGCCGAACAGAACAGGACATATATTTTTGGTGGAGAACCACTCACCTCTTGTATTCATCTCTGTTAGACTTAGTGCAGTTGATCTTTTCTACAAATCCTGTTTGGCTGCAGGCTGGTATAGTTTTCTGTAAAAATTACAGCGGGTTTACAAGCCAAGTAGAGGAAACTTTTTAATGAATCCTCAAATGAAACGCTCTTCCGCTGGAACAATCATAATCTTTCGTGCACTATATTTATATACCTTGACTGTACCTATCCAATTCAGTATATTCTGCTTAGGAACCTAAGATCAGATCCGAAATCATTAGAATGATTTCTGAAGGATCATGTGACACTGAAGACTGGAATAATGGCGGCTGAAAATTCAGCTTTGTTATCATAGGAATAAATTGCATTTTAAAATAGAAAACAGCTATTTTAAATTGTAATATTTCAAAATGCTACTGTTGTAAAATAAATAAATGTGGCCTCGGCACAATACTTTTTTTGTTTTTACTTTTATTAAAAAACAAAATAAATCTTACTAACCCCAAACTTTTGAAAAGTTGTGTGCATGTATACACTCACCGATTGTAAACCTTCGCATGCACTGCACTCTTTAGCCACCACAAACTCCTCCAGCTGCCAACATGGTGCTGTCACTGCCTTTGTCACTGCAACTACAAAAGCAAAACATAAGGACAATTACAACTATGAACTTGATATGCTTTAGAACAGGGATCCTCAAATCTGGCCCACGAGATCCACTTTCCTGCAGAGTTTAGCTCTAACCCTAATCAAACACACCTGAGCATGCTAGTCAATGTCTTCAGGATCATTAGAAAATCACAGGTATGTGAGTTTGATGAGGGTTGGAGCTAAACTCTGCAGCGCATTGGACCTCCAGGGTAAGATTTGAGGAACCCTGCTTTAGAAGAACAATCTTTGATGAAATCCTGATTTTTTTAAAAGTACCTGCTGCCTTCTCATCGCTAAGAAGTGCTGCTCCAAACACTCTAGAGAAAAAACAAGTTGAAACATGGAATGAATGAACATGATCAAAGCTTTGTTTCGCAGTACTCTGCATTAGAAGAGAATCACTTGTGGTAAATCTGTATAAAAATCAGTAATTTTTCTCACCTAAGGGACACTAAGCCCCAGAATAAAGCATGCAGGGCCAGTATCCGGGGTCTCAGACATGCCATAGGGATCCTACAGTCACTCTCCATCGCTCTGGTGCACATGTGTTTATAAAGTAACACAACTGACGTTCACTGCCGGTTCATAGCGCAAATGTTCTTTCCTGAGAGCAGTAAAACATCCAAAGTATCTACAAAGACACACGAGAAAAATAAAATGAAGACCCCGAACGTCATATAAACACTGAACGAACGAACACACACACAGGTTTGTTTTTATGGTTTATGGGGACTCTCTATAGGAAACCTCACAGGAAACTTTATGCATTTTTAGATTTTCAAAAAAACGAATTCTGAATTATTTATATGCCTTTTGAATTATGTGGACACTGAAAATGTCCTCATAAATCACCTTCTCGTTGTAATACCTATGTCATACCCATGTTATTATACAAATGTGTGTCCTCATAAACATGTACACACACACACACACACACACACACACACACACACACACACAGATAGGTAATTTGAAGGTAACTTCTGATCTAGATTGACAATCTCATTACCTGTCCTGGATATTACGTGATGAATCAAGACAGATACGATGTGTTAAAAAAAACTAATAGCATTATTATTATTAATACTACTACTACTACTAATAATAATAATAAAACTAAAAAACCCGGGGGAAGAAACTAATGTAAAGCGACTAAACTACAATAAAGCCACACTGGAAATAATTAACAAAAACTATCAAACAACGTTAAAGCTACTTAAAATGTAATGTCTTTAAAATATATAACTATTAGATGAAATGCCGTTAAATCAAAGAAGAAATACCAAATGACTTGACTTCGCTCACCCCCGATACAAACATAAATACAGAAGAAGGACCGCTGATGAGCTCACGAGTTTCGTAAACAGAGAAAGCGTAAAGCTCCAACCAAACACCGTCCACATCAGCAAGAAACACGCAGTAACGTTACTCCCCCGAAATCCCACTATCCGAGCGCCCGTCTCTCCGGACAATCCCACGAGAGGATCTCTGAAACACTTAGCGGCCAGCGGTCGTCAATCACTACACATACACACGACTGTTAGTTCAGAATACACCGTATAAATCGTCTTTATTTACAGAGCTCTCTAGACGAGGGCCTGCCCGCCATACTGCAACGGAGAGGATTACGTCACACGAGAATGTGGGTTTCAAATGAGATTTAAAGTGTATCGCCCTCTAGTGGAGCGGCTCTCCATTGTCATGACCGCATATCCTCGCAAAATGTGTTTGGATGGATGTGTGGATTTATTTACATTACATACAAAGTACTGAATCAAATGGAGTCTGCAAACAAACTATGTTTCAAAATTGGGATTTCCTAATAACCACTGAACCTGATTGTTGGGTGTATAAAGGCAGGTGTAGTATCTAAATACTTTTTTATCTGACTCTTGAACATTGAACATATTGTTTTACAAACCACTTGGCTTGAGATTTAGTTTTCTAATGCAATGACAGTCATTTTTTTTAAGTGTGGCTGAAACACTAATTTTGTACTTCAGTGTTTTGATTGACACATCTAGACCCTCTACAGCAGGGTTCCTCAAATCTTGCCCTGGAGGGCCAATGCGCTGCAGAGTTTAGCTCCAACCCTGATCAAACTCAGCTACCTGTGATTTTCTAATGATCCTGAAGACATTGACTAGCATGCTCAGGTGTGTTTGATTAGGGTTAGAGCTAAACTCTGCAGGAAAGTGGATCTTGTGGGCCAGATTTGAGGATCCCTGCTCTACAATTGTGTTGTTATGATTATTATATCTTATAACATACAATTTACCACACAGAGAATGTAATATCTTGGACTACATACTAATTACAATTCAAAAGTTTTGGGAAGTAAGATTTTTTTGTATTACTTATACATTACAACAATACTATTTCTAATAAATACTGTCCTTTTGAAATGTCTATCTTTCTGAATCTACACTATTCTATAAATAGTGCATTTACAGTTTAATTATATCATGGTTATACAGTTCAGCTGATAACTGCCACAGCGTTATTTCTAACAAGTCCAGTTTAACTCAATTGATCATTAGATGCCCTGGTTGACAGTACATGTTTAAAGATATTGATTTTACTCTCACAAACTCAAACTATCAAAATGTATACAAAAGAGCATTAAATTACTGTAAATTACTTTCAGATATCTATTACACCTGTTTTTCATAAACAAAATCTGGATTTATTCATTTTTTACAATCATGTCAGAGTTAAACATACATATACATCAAGTTACCTCTCACATTAGCAGTTACCAATCATGTCAATGAGGGAAAAAAGTATTACGTAATGCCTGAAAGGTTCAGAGTTCAGTTTAAAGGGACAGAGAATTTAGAAAGCATGTGCTTAGGAAACAAGAACTACTGAAAACAAGTGTTTGTTTTCAAATATAGTCTAGTAAAAACAAATGTGATGAAAGGAGAATCAGATATATATACAAAAAGTATATAATGGAATTTGTGAAGGTGCAAGAGAAAAGCAAATGTAGAAAATTCTGCTTGAATTGTGTACTCCAGTTCTGTCCATTAGAATGATGAATGAATGCCATGACAAGTGGCCTAAACAATCTCTTAGGTCCACTGTTGTACCGTAAACACATGGTCAGTGCGCTCTAGCTATGTCAGTAAGGCAGAGGAGTGCTGTATTCCTTACAATCCCCTCCATGCTGTCCATTACCTGAACTGCATGTCATATAAAGCTGGAACCTGTCCCATAACTGCATGCATAGATATTAATGCTGAGACCATGCATCAATGCTCATCTCAATCACTCGAATTAATCTCAGTTCTCCCAATTTACTCAGTTCTTTAAAAATAGTGGCGAGTCTGTACATGGCTGAGGTTAAGGTCACGTGTGAGACAGTGAGAATCTTTTTTGTTCTCAAATAATCAGATGAGAAAAACAATTTATGGTAAGTATTCCTTCATGCCGGATGGATCTCTGATCTATTGATTAAGGGATAATGAATGTAGCAAAACAAGGCATTCATTGTGAGGTCATATCCTAGTGAAAGATCATAGTCTTAAAGGGATAGTTCACCCAAAAATGACAATTCTGTCAACATTTACTCATGCTATTTCAAATGTGCATATGGCTTAAATAGATCTTTAAGGTAGCACCATATTTAATTTTTTACAGGAATGAAAATGAGGCTGTGAGGATAGAAGTACAGTGTGTTCAACAGTCTTTCTGGGGCGAAAAACTTTCAGTAGACAAAAACACCATAAAAAAGTTTTAAAGGTTGTGAGTTGTGAAAATGACATGATCTATGACCATTGTAAAGACTGCAAATTTGTTCCTCACAGTCTCGTTTTCAACCGTGTTAAATTCAACATGGTGTCTAACCAGATTAATGGTCTATAGGGTCAAATTTGCTGTTTTGGACCCCACTGACATTGTATGGGCCACAGAGACATTTTCTAAAATATCTTTTGTGTTCCACAGATGAAAGAAAATGGACCATTTTCACAGACTGTGATGACACATTCCCACAGCTATTATTGTAAATCTAGCAATGTTTTTTAAGTTTAATGTACATGTTTTTTTAGTGTTGTACATTACAGGCTTTTGAGAACCCTACACTGTATAAAAAAAGAAAAGAAAAGGAAAAGGCATTGGTAATTGTCCAGTAATTTTACAGACATTTCCATTAACAATGCAATGAAGTGCAAAATTCAAAATATGGGTAAAACACCTGTATAAAATAAATATGGAAAATTCCTAATAAAGTACATTGTGTCATATTTTTTTCCGGATTTCTTGTACAGTGTAGAAATGTGAAAAGGGTCCATCATACAGGTTTGGAATGACATCACCATAATTGAGCATCTCATTTGGGGAGAAGATATAGACTACTTTTGACCCTCTTATTTGTTTGCAGTTGGACTGATGCACATGCTGAATGAGGAGATGGGCTGCAAGGCAGAGAGGCTGAGGATCAAAGAGAAGGGCATATGAACAGCCTCTATAACTAACCCCACTAAATTAAAACAAACTTGCTTGAACTATTCAAACTATTAACATGCATTTTAATGCTGGCTATTTCACCAAAGAATATTTTTTATTTATTTATTTGATTTTCTTTTTTTCTTTTTCTTTTTTGCACGGTGGGCTTCTGAGCGACGATGCAGTGGCAGGGTGCTATCGCAGAAGAGAGGGACCCAATAAGCCAAATAGACTCCACAATGTGGGAAGGAAACCTGAGGGTACCTGAAGTTCCTTCCTTCCTGAAGTGCCAAGAGGAACCATGCCAGATCAAAATGACAGGAGATGATGCTTTCTGTCAGTCCATCATGCTGTTCTTGACAGCAATCTGTGATGCCGTTTTCTTTGAAGGACGTGTCAGTGATAAATAAAGGAAAAGTACTGGATGCAGTACATTCATTAGAAGCTCGATGACTTCTTGTGGCACAAGGAGTCTATTGCATCAGGCCAAAGTGTAAGGCCAAGGCCGAGAAGGAGAGTCTGAAAATCAAATTCAGTTCACAATGCCCTGATTTCTTAGAAAAAAAGACAGACAGAAAAATAGAATTACTCTGGGGGCCTATTGATTATCAAAAACTCAACAAAACCAAGAAACAATATTGGCACAGAGACTTCCAGAAAGAAATACCATTAAGAAGTCAAGTGATTTGTCCCCTCATATTTTGGAAGACTGATAAAAAAATGATGGTTGAAGACCACCTCAGATAAACTCTGCCTTCTACTGGAAGAAGTCCAAATGTTCAACAAAACCTCAATAATATCTTCATCCATGTGAGAATATTTCTCTAAAACTTTCCTGAATCATTTGAAATAAAGTAAAAAAAGAAGAAAGACTGTTACTACAGGCATGTAAAAATAAAAACGGGACATTGTGAAACATCAGGACATAGTCTGCAAGGCAAAGTCTAGAAGTCTAGATCCACGGTGCAAAGGATGAACCCATGCAAGGATACAGCAGTTGTTTAGAGGAACTGTGCTAGGTTATTTGAGGGAGGTATTTAGCCTTTGGATGAGTTGCCCTGATGCTACAGTCAGAGTCGGACTGCTGCCGGGTGTTTCTGGGGGTCATTCCATGTTACCACTGTCTGAGAGGGAGATATTAAGGGTGTTTGCAGAGGGGAACAGGTCGCGTTGATCGGTGGGACTGTGGTAGTCAGAGGTCAAGTCAGGTTCCAGCAAGGATGACAGGGTGAAGTGGGATGAGCTCTTTTTCAGGCACTGGGAGTAGAAGTTCAAGAGCAGGTCCAGCTTGTTTTCGATTGACTGCACCTGAGAAGGAAAAAAAAGAAATTGTTGTCAATTTACAAGATCTAGTGCTATTTTATGATGATATGACAATGTTCAGGAAATTAGTTTGGAATATTATTGAATATCAGCAGTTTTCAAAACCACAACTCTATTATGTGAAACACAATGGGCTGCACTATAGGTGATGAATTAGTGCAATGACAAGTCAAATCCAAATCCACTAACACTGAAACTCTTAAGATAATTTATAAAAATGTATAATAAATAGCCTCTAAAATATTTTTTGATTAGATGGAAAACATGATTTGGTAGTGGTAGGTAGTTAATAGCATGCTGAATCAATACAAATTAAAATGAACTGAAATTCATTTAACTGTATATTTTAACTATATAAACACACTACCATTTAAAAGTCTGGAGTAAGTATGATTTTGTTTTTATTAATACTTTTATTCTGCAAGGATGCATTTCATTGATCAAAACAAAAAAATGACAATAAAGTCATTTATAATATAAAGAAGAAATGTTTCTTGAGCACCAGATCAGCATATCAATGATTTCTGAAGGATCATGTGACACTGAAGACTGGAGTAATGATGCTGAAAATTCAGCTTTGCATCACAGGAATAAATTACATTTCGCAATTTATTCAAATAGAAAAAAACTTATTTTAAATTGTAATAATATTTCTCAGTATTACTGCATTTTACTGTATTTTTGATCAAATAAATGCAGTCTTGGTGAATATAAGAGGCATCTTTCAAAAACATAAATTCTTACTGTCCCCAAATCTAGATAGATAGATAGATATTAATATTCATAGCATACCTGCTTCTCCACTTTCACCACACGCCCCATCATGCTTAATTCATCCATCTGTTCCAGTTCAGGAGGAGTTTTCTC